GAAGAAGAGTGTCTGCTTCGTCGTGATCGTTAAATTCCTCAGAAATGTCGCAGCAAATCACCGGCGGTGGTAATAGTATCCCTCTGAGTGAAGTTTATTGGTCTCTCGTTAACAAAGCCGACAAAAAATTCTCCAAGATCAGAGACTTGCCTTTCTATGAACGCAGCAGGTACTTCCTCTCTTGAGAAAATCGATTGGATTATGAAAGCTTGTTTAGGTTGGTAGATGGAGAATCAGAATGAAATCGATAGTTGTTCTATGTGATTTGGAGCTATTTCTCGTTGTGTTTGTTTGCAGGTATGAGAACTATTTCTTCAAGGTATTCAAGGTATACACACAACTATGGAAGTTTCAGCAAGAGAATCGGCAGAAGCTTGTAGAAGCTGGACTTAAGAGATGGGAGATTGGAGAAATCGCGTCTCGTATTGCGCAGCTTTACTATGGACATTATATGCGAACGAGTGATGCGGGTTACTTGTCCGAGTCCTATGTATTCTACGAAGCAATATTGACTAGAGAGTACTTCAAAGAAGGGCTGTCTCAGGATCTCAATATTGCAAACAAACAGCTACGGTTTCTTGCTAGGTTTCTTATGGTGTGTTTGGTCTTAGGCCGTCGAGAGATGGTGCATCAACTCGTTGAGCAGTTTAAACGGTTGATAGATGAATGCAAGAGGACATTTCAGGTTTTGTTCTGAAAACCTTTTTCTCCATTTATCTCTGTTTTCCATTGTCTATTATACCAAACAGCTTTTCATGTTTTCAGGAAACTGATTTTAAAGAATGGAAGGTGGTGGCGCAGGAAATAGTTAGATTTCTGAAATCTGACACTGCTTTTATGAACATCAGGCCTCTAAGATACAGTCTTGTGTTGGATCCTAATCTGGATGTTGGTACACCTCGTGCAAGTAGGTCTTTAAGGTTGACGGATGCAATCTTGAGCAGTTATCACTACAATGAGGTAGTGTTTTACTTGTTCATGTTTTCTATGAATGCCTATTTCTAAATTTGCAATCTTGCTGAACGATTTCCACCAGGTCAAGTATTCGGAGCTCACGCTTGATTCGTTCAGGATGCTTCAATGCTTAGAGTGGGAACCGAGTGGTTCATTATATCAGTCAACTGGTGCTAAAATTGGTCAGAACGCTCCCACTGGAGTTACTCGTATAAACTCCCAGAACATGACTGATCCTACTTTGCCCCCTAACCCTCGCAAAGCTGTCCTTTATCGTCCATCCATAACACATTTCTTGGCGGTTAGCTGACTTTCGTTTTTTAAGTCTTTTTTTTTCCCACAAATTAGATCTGCGAAAACCATTGGCTTTCTGTGAACCCTGTTTTATCTTGGTAGGTTTTGGCCACCATTTGTGAGGAGCTTCCTTCGAATGGCGTACTTTTACTATATCTGTCTGCTTCTGGTAATGTGTGTATTATGCTTTTTCTGTTTAGGATATTGAGTTCCTTAGCTTCTAACATATACGTTTTCATTCAGGAAAGGTTGGACAGACTTCATTATCTCCCTTGAGTGCCAGAAGTGTAACCAGCATTGAGGAGAATATTTTGAGAGACTTTGAATCTCACACAATCAAACAAGAGAGAGACCCATCTGGTGACACACCTGGTCTGTCTTTGAGGCAAATCAGTGAGGACGCAGTCAGTACACCAAGTGGTTTGTCTTTTGGCAGTCATGGGCTCTCAGGTATCCACTCCAGAATTATTGAAACTTTCATGTGAACATCCATCTAATACTATCACATTAGGCGATATGCATGTAGGAGGTTGATTCGACTAAAATATTGGGTTGGGTAAACTGGGACCACTGTGATCAATCCAATTATAATGTTTTGCACACGAGGGGAATAAGTCTGATATCTGCAGAAACTTTTAAATCCCTTTTCATGGAAACAAGGGAAACATAGAATTTGCTATTTTTCAAGTCTCTCCGAACTTTATCTGACAACTGTCTTTCCCCAGGATCAAGCTGCATCTATCCCTCTGATTTAGTCCCATTCACAAGGAAACCTCTTTTCATAATCATTGACAGTGATAGCAGCACAGTTTTTAGGGCAAGTCACCAGACTCCGTCTTTCTTATGTTAAGATTCATTTCTGGAATACTTATGTTTGGTATGAATGTTTTCACTTTAAATTTTGAAGAATATATGTGGAGCGGAGAAAGGAGAACCAGCCGCATTACTTCTGTCTCCATCACATACTCCTCCGCTTATCTCTGTTGATTTCTCTCGACAACCCAGTGGTAGCCTTTTCACCATTTTTCTCACTGCACCAGTCCAAGCGTTTTGCTTGCTAATTGGGATTAATGGCTCCGATATGGAAACGGTAGGTAGAGCTGAGCTTTAATCTCCTTGATACTCAAAATGCATTTTCTTTACGTCTTTTGTTTGTGATATGTGTCAGGATATTTTTCTTAAGGCCGAGAAGCTTCTTTCCTCGTTTATGAACGAATGGGCTTCAACTTTGGCAGCATCAGATACCCTTCACCCTGTGTGGTCACAGATACTAAAAGATCCCTTCTTGAGAAGACTTCTCTTAAGGTAAATGTTTCTTTCCCAAGTTCTAAAACAATTTGAGGATCTTCCAAAATTCAAACATGTTTGGACATAGGTTGTGTAGGTACTAGGAACAATAAACATTGTTGGTATAGCCTATTGAAGATTGTCGAACTCTCTGAACCTTTTAATCTTATCTATCTACGGTTTCGGATTTTGTCTCCCTTACCTGCAGATTCATATTCTGCCGGGCTGTCTTGGCGCTGTACACTCCAGTCTTCAATAACCAACAAAATCAGCCAGAGTGCTTTCCATCTCTCCCGGAATCGCTAGTACCAACTGCTCCTGCCGTTCAATCTGCTGTGCTTCAGATGGCCAGTGTATTTGGGGCTACAAGTAAATTTACTTTACCTCAAGATATCACAATGCTCTAAAGCCTCTAAGAATCTTCTTCTGCGACAAATAGGCGAACATTAGTCAGAAACAAGTCTTATGCAGATCAGGAATCTCTGTTTGGTTTCCCTTCAGGGTTAACTATAATTTCAGATTTTGGACTCATTGGAGCTTTAGGACCGAACCTCTTTTGAGATTTCTGGTTCAAGAACATTTTGCTGTGTGAAATTAACAAAGTGTGATGCAGAACATTGTGATTGGCTTGAATGTATCTTCATTTAAAAAAAAATGTTGCTGTTTTTCAATTTGTAAATCGATTCAACTTTTTAACTGTAATGGAAAATTTCCATCGGTTACAACAAGTGTTCAAACTGTGATAAAGCAAGAACATCCAACAAGTACTAACCATGACTTTTGGATGACAACAAATCGCTTACAATTCTCATCAGAGATTTCTGAGTACAATTATCGAGTAGAAAAGTCTCTGTCTGGCCTCAGATTTCTCATATTCGAATCCCTAAGTGCGAAAACCGCCTTTTTGTGTATTCATTCACAACATAAACCTCAGGATCGGGTTTGGATGTCTCTGAATCCCCAGAGCGGTGCGTCTCCTTCTTGATCAGATCATCAAACTCGGTTAAATGACACTGACCAATCTACTGGTGTCAGGAAGCCATGCTCTGAATTACAACAAAGAAACTATTCACCACCGGTCTTTGCAGCTACAAATGCCGTCTTTGAAGAGATGGAACCGATTAGCATCCCTCACTAATATCTCACGTCCCACTATCTTTGATATCAGCTTCGTGACTTCATGACAATCACCGCAGACACGAAGATTCTTCATCACTTGCAACGGCGTCCCTGGTTCTGTGTTCAACAGTCCAAAAGCGATGGCTAGCCTCTCACTGTGCCCACAGATCAAACGTCTCTTCTCTTCCTCATCCTCTAGATTCTGTGACACTTCTCGTGGATCGGGAATGTACCCTTCTTTAGCCATCAGACTGTAAAGTATCTCAAGTGACTTGTGGATGGCTTCGGACTGAGGAGCTGAATCATCTCCTGCACGGAACACGTGAACTTTTTTGCTGATTTCGATCCAGCTATATCCTGGATTCTTCTTGATGTGTTTGTCTTTCAAGGATTTGCGGATTAGACTCACTTCGTCCCATTTTCTCAAGGCTGCATACGCGTTTGATGCTAGAATCGAGTAACCTGGATCGTCCGGGTTCAGTTCGATAATCTTCTTAGACACTCTTTCCGCTGTCTCCATGTCCCCACTTGTTCGACAGGCTCTTAGCAGAGATGCCCATATGCTAGCATTAGGTTTTATCGGCATTGCTTGGATAAACTCCTCGGCTTTCGAAATTTTCTGTGACCGGGACAGCAAATCAACCACACAAGCATAGTGTTCGATCAGCGGCTCGATTTTGTAGTGAGTTTTCATCTTGTCGAAGCAAACCAAGCCTTCTTCTACCAAACCAGAGTGGCTGCAAGCATAGATGATGGCAATGAAGGCGACATTATCGGGAACAATACCGGATTTTTCCATACCAGCAAAAGCTTCAAGAGCTTTCTCACCTTTGCCGTACATTCCATATGCATAGATCAATCCTGTCCATGTCACAACATCTCTTCTACTCATATGTTCAAAGACTCTAAAGGAACTCTCCAAACAACCACATTTTGAGTACATTTCAATTAGTGCATTCCCTATTCGCAACTCAGATTCATATCCAAACCTCAAAAGACAACAATGGATTTCTCTGCCTAGTCGTTTAGCTGCAAGTGAAGCACACATAGGCAATATAACTAAGAAAGTTGCCATATCAGGCACCGATCCGCTGTTCCTCATTCGAGTAATTACCTGCAAACCGGTGGCAAAATCTCCAAAACGAACACATGCAGAAATAACCGTGTTCCATGTTACCATATCCTGAGTTTCCATACTGTTGAATATCTTCAGAGACACTCCTACTTCCCCGCACTTTGCATACATATCAATCAAAGCATTACTAACAGAGAGATCGAAATAGATTCCAGATTTTGTCACGTTAGAATGTAGCCCTCTCCCAAATTTCAGTTCTGCTAAACGAGTGGAGACAGATATAAGCATCAAATAAGTGATATGATCTGCTTTCTCTTCCATGATGGTCATCATCTTAAAGAGTTTCATGGCTTCCAAAAGATCTCCACTTTGTATATATCCATTGATTATCGAGTTCCACGAAACAATATCCTTACATTCCATGCTCTTGAACACATCTCTTGCCGAGATCATGTCACCACACTTTGCATACATGTCAATTAGAACGTTATTCCCAGTAGTTTCTAGCACAATTCCAGCTCTCAGCATATAGTCATGAACGTATTTTGCTAAGCGCAAGTCTCGCAAGTGTCCACAGGCACGGAGAACAGAACTAACTGTTATCGTATCTGGCTTGAACTGATCCAACTTTTCCAAAAACATCCTCACAGATTCTTCACACACCTCTAAATTGAGATATCCACAGATCATAGAATTGTAACTAATCGAATCTTTAACAACCATCTCATCAAAAACTCGTCTTGCATCCGTCGCTCTGCTAAACTTCAGATACATCGCAAGTAGTCCGTTGTTAACGACCACAACGGAATCAACACCTGACTTCACCGCAAAACCATGAAGTCCCTGTCCTTCTTTGACAACAAGCAAATTCCCAAATGCAGGCAAAACACTTGAAACCGTGAAAGAATCCGGCACAATCCAAGACTTTCTCAATTCATGATAAACCTCCAAGGCTTCCTCATAGTAACCATGGGAACTAAACCCGGAAATCAAACTGTTCCAGGACACGATATCTCTCACAGGCATTTCGTCGAACACTTGTCGTGCTCTACCCAACAATCCCATCCTCGAGTACATATCAATAAGTGCATTGCCTACATATACATCAGATTCAAACCCCAGTCCCACTATCTGTTCATAAACCGAATCTCCCATCTCCGCATTACACAATCCAGCACAAGCTTTGACGACGGAAGGAAACGTGTACTTATCCGGAGAAACCTTTGATTCCCGGAGTTTCTCGTAAAAGTCGAGGGCTTTAGAGAACAAACCATTCTGAGAAAGCGCTCTGATGATAGAGTTCCAGAGGTAGACATTTTTCGCCGGAGAAACTCGCCGGAAAACAGAGAGTGAAGAGCTGGGTTGTTTAAGATGGGAGTATTTGTCGATAAGCTTGCCGGAGAAGAAGTCGGAGCCGTCAAGGCCTAGAGAGATTACAAGTGCGTGGATTCGACGAAGCTCTTTGAGGTTTGATGAAGATGATAAAGCTTTGGAGATGAGAGTCGATGACAGTGTAGTCTGCATCGGTGCAGCCACACCATTGCTTCAACTAATTTGCTTTAAAGTTTGAAGGTACTAAGATTTGCTTT